TGTTGGCAGTTAGTTTCATGTCCGAAACAGAGGCAGTTTACGGCCTTAACCCAGACAATAATGGGAAGAGATCACTGGTCAGTTTTGTATATTGCTATTTCTTTCTTACTTCTTTGAATTCCGTAACTTTTTTCGGTTTAGAGTTACAGCAATACAGTCAATAAGAATGATCATGAAACCTCTTCATGATACAGCCAGTATTAGCGGAGTTATCAGTAACGTTTAGGGGTCCGAAATAAATAGAATTGGAGAAGATACAACGACCGTTTTCGTCGTAATCGAGTAAAAACTGTGTTCGGACAGAAGGAGGCCAAAGCTTACCCTCGTGTGATTTTCTCCTAATACTGAAGGAGAGGAACATTTCTTACTTTAAAGCTTTGTCAGCTTCAGAGTTTTTCTTTACTTAGTGATCGTAATGTTTCTCTAGATTCGAAAAGGGATGCTGCTAATGATATAATGATATTTTAAATAATTCATCGATGAATGCAGACGAATATGTTTTTTTTCAGTGAACCCTAAACTGTTATTATTCACTTACAGAAATTAAGTGATGTCCGAAGGAATATCAGGAGCATATGCGCTACCATGAACGATATTTGCCAAAGGGAAAGAGAAGAAATACAGGATTTTAATCAGTTAAAGATGTAAATAGATTGTTGGTTGAGTTAAACCGATGACTACATCTAAACGTGTTTATGGATTGCAGAATGAGTTAAGCCGACTACAACATTTCAGAGATTACAGTCGAAACCCTATTGTAAAATCAATAAAATCGCGAAAAATTACTTACTGAGTTTTTCTTTTGATTTTAAATAGGTAAAAATCTATTTTCATTATAAGATCGCATCAGCAGGAAAAAATGACACCCTGTATCAAAGAAGATACTTTCATGATTGTCGTCATTAGTAATTGGGTCGTCAATGTTTATAAACGAGTTTCATTCACCTATTAAAAACAAACATTCAAGCCATATTTTTACAACAGCAAGTTAAAAGACGACTTCATCAAATTAAAACTCACAATAGGCTTGAAAAATCCTGCAGAAGAGGCTTAAATCTTTTGGCGTTCAGTTTAAGTCGAACGGAGGCACGCACGAGGCGAGGGCGAAGTGCAAGTCACGCGCTTGGGCTGAAGCACGAACTCAACCTTAACGACCACATCGGCAACAA